GGGGGCTACCCCCCTCCCACATCCCATGCTGTACACCCTGCACCCCCTAAACCCACAAACCCACCCACCAACTCACCCACCCACCAACCCACCACCACCGCCGTTCTGCCCGCTGCTGGTCTGTTAGTGGGTGATCGTGATGTGCGTGTGTGTGTGCCTGTGTGTGTGTGTCTGTGTGTGTCTGTGTGTGCTTTAATGACTTGGTCAAGGCCTATGATACCATCAGTAGGCCTGGCCTCTGGGCTGTTCTTCGTGCTTTTGGAGTCCCTGACCCCCTGCTCACGATCATTAAGGACCTTCATGATGGTGAGCGGGCCCGGGTAAAACTACGTGGCCGGGAGTCGAAGCCATTCCCTGTACACCTTTGGGTGCGACAGGGATGTCCTCTGGCTCCCACATTATTTAACATCTATTTTGACCACGTAGTTCGTGAAGCCTTCAATAGCTGTACCGGGGGAATCTCCATATGGTACAGATATAATGGGAGGCTGATCGATGCCCGGGTGCGGTCAATGGATGGCTCCCTATTGCTCAACCACGTTATGTATGCCGATGATTTGGTAATAGCTGCTCATTCAGAGGAGGAGTTGGAGACGCTGCTGCTGAGACTTGAGTGTGCCACTAAGAGATGGGGCCTTACCATCAGCCCCACCAAAACTAAGCACCTGCCTGGGTATTTTGTACCATCGGACACTCCACCCCCACAACTCCCAATCGGTGATGGGGCAGTTGTGGAGCGAGTGGAGAGTTTCCCATACCTGGGCAGTGTGCTTTTGACCGGCTCCAGTTTAACAGCAGAGGTCTCACTCCGAATCAGTCGAGCGGCAATATCTTTTCATCGGTTGCGTAACGCTGTGTGGAAGCTACCTGGTCTGTCACTCCGCACTAAGCTTCAGGTCTTCTCGGCCACGGTCATTCCCTCCCTTCTCTACGCTTGCGAAACGTGGACCCCCCTAATGGAACATCTTCGCCGGTTAGAAACATTTAGGCTGGCCTGCCTACGATCCATCCTGGGTTTAACCAGACTGGATTGTGTGAGGAGCTCACAAATCCTTGAAAGATCTGGGCAGGGTCCCATCGGTGAGCTCCTCCGGCGGGCAAGGCTGCGATGGCTGGGTCATGTAGCCCGCATGCCCAGCCACCGCATGCCGAAACAGCTTTTGTTCGGCCGGATTGAGGGGGCAAAGCGGGCGCGGCACGGGCTAGAGAAGAGATGGAGTGATGTGGTACAGGAGGACGTGGAGCTGAGTGGACTTGCCGATGACTGGTACCAGCGGTGGTCAAGATCGGCCTCTGTGGAGGAGGCTCGTGAAGGACGCTACTGGGCAGTTGGAGGCAGTCGCCCTCCAACAACAACGGAGGGCGGGAGGAGCGACGCTCACAACAACGAGCGGAGCGCCGGGTGGCTAAAGCACAGCAGGTTGGCACAGTAGGGGGCACAGGTGGTGCATCAGCCAGTCATCTCAGTCAGTCGACCCGTGGCACTTGGGTCTGCCCCGTGACCTCCTGCCAGCGGGCGTTCAACACTTCACGTGGCCTCAAGGGGCACATGGCCTGGCACAAGCGTTGTGGTGACGTCACCGCGAATGGCGGTTGTTGTTGTGTGTCACCGGCTCCGGTTTGACAGCAGAGGTCTCACTCCGAATCAGTCGAGCGGCAAAACTTTTCATCGGTTGCGTAACGCTGTGTGGAAGCTACCTGGTCTGTCGCTATACACGAAGCTTCGGGTCTTCTTGAGAAACATTGACCCCCCTAATGGAACATCTTCGCCGGTTAGAAACATTTAGGCTGGCCTGCCTACGATCCATCCTGGGTTTGGCCTGGCACTAGCGTCGTGGTGACGTCACCGCCACGTAGTGGCGAATGGTGGTTGTTGTTGTGTGTGTGTCTATAGGTTTCTGTGTGATGAGTCTATGGCTCTCTGCTGTGTGATGAGTCTATGGTTCTCTGCTGTGTGATGAGTCTCTAGGTCTCTGCTGTGTGATGAGTCAATGGGTCTCTGTGTGTGATGAGTCTATGGGTCTCTGCTGTGTGATGAGTCTATGGGTCTCTGCTGTGTGATGAGTCTATGGGTCTCTGCTGTGTGATGAGTCTATGGGTCTCTGCTGTGTGATGAGTCTATGGGTCTCTGCCGTGTGATGAGTCTATGGGTCTCTGCTGTGTGATGAGTCTATGGCTCTCTGCTGTGTGATGAGTCTATGGGTCTCTGCTGTGTGATGCGTGTATGGGTCTCTGCTGTGTGATGAGTCTATGGGTCTCTATGATGAGTCTATGGGTCTCTGTGTGTGATGAGTCTATGGGTCTCTGCTGTGTGATGAGTCTATGGCTCTCTGCTGTGTGATGAGTCTATGGGTCTCTGCTGTGTGATGCGTGTATGGGTCTCTGCTGTGTGATGAGTCTATGGGTCTCTATGATGAGTCTATGGATCTCTGTGTGTGATGAGTCTATGGGTCTCTGCTGTGTGATGAGTCTGTGGGTCTCTGCTGTGTGATGAGTCTAT